TTCAAGCTGCGGGAAGTCTTGGAGGCGATCGGTTTCACTCCCTCAACGGCCGATCAATCGTTGTTCATGCTTGGCGAGGGGGAGCAGAGGAGCTTCATGGTGGTTTATGTGGATGACATCCTCATATTCTCACCCTCCTCTGACCTTGTGAAGGAGGTGATGCTGAAGCTTCAAGACAAGTTCAATTGCAAGACCCTTGGTGACGTCAACTACTACCTTGGGCTTCACATTGAGCGAGATGTGGAGAAGCGGTGGATGCGAGTGCATCAAAAGAAGTACTTGGAGGCCTTGGCTGCAAACTTTGGGAAGAGTGAAGGTCATGTGGCTACTCCTCTACCCTCAGGGTTCAAGTGTGTGAAAGGACCAGCGGAGGAAAGTGTTGGTGAAGAGGAGAGGCGCCGTTTTCATTCCTTGGTGGGCAGCCTCATGTATGCGGCCGTTCACACAAGGCCGGATGCAGCCTTTGCTACCGGGCAGCTAGCTAGGGTTGTCCAATGCCCTAATGAAGAGCAGGTAGCAGCTGGAGAGAGGGTGGCCAAGTACCTTGGCCAAACAGCAACTGTTGGACTGCAATACTCCGCGGCGGCACAAAGGCGTCAAAAGGGTGCGGATGGAGTCGAACCCGGGAGGCTCTTTCTCACCGCCTTCTCTGATGCATCTTGGGCATCAGAACCAGAGGACATGACAAGTGTGGGAGGCTTCATCTGCTGTGTTGGTGGAGGACCAACAGCTTGGGAGAGCAAGAAACAAGTGGACCAAGCATTGAGCTCGGTGGAGTCCGAGTACACGGCACTCTTCCGTGCCATAAGAGAGGTTGTGTGGCAGCGGCGTTTGCTAGCTGAATTGGGGGAGGAGCAGCAAGGACCTACCCCCCTCTACTGTGATAGCCAGGGTGCTATTGCATTGGCTAAGAACCCCGTTCTTCATGGCCTTACCAAGCACATGAAGGTGAAGTGGCATTGGGTGAGGAGCATGGTAACCGCGGGTGAAGTGGAGTTGCACTACGTGAAGACGACGGCGCAGCCTGCTGATATGATGACCAAGAGGCTGGTTGAGCAGCAGCATTGGAAGTGTTGCAAGCTTGCTGGGATGGCTCTGAACTAAGGGGAGCAGATTCTAAGGCCAACAATCCGAGGGGGAGTTTGTTGGTGCAACCCTATGGCTTGCACTCGGCTTGTCGTCCGTGCTTGTGTGTGTGCATGCATGGCATGGAATGACTTGTGAGTCTATGTCATTGCTATCTAGTGCTTCTGTGTGTGTTTGAATGGTGTCTCACAATGTGGTGTGTGTCGGTCAAGACATTAGTGAGTTTTTACAACTCGCATGTCAAGTCGTCGTTTGCGTGTCGCATGTGTTTTTCTATTTTGTCAAGTGTGAAGTGTCCATCGCGTCGCAGGTGTGTGCAGCAAGCCCCCATCAACTCAAGAAGAATTTATCTTGAAGAACCAAGACCAAGAGCTCAAGATTTCAAGCCCAAGGGACGCTGATAAATATTAAATAGTGAAAATAGTAACGCTACTTCGTGTAGTGTTACATTTCACTTGGTGTAGCCCCTTGGAGGGTTTGTTTTGAGACTCTTCGTGGTTGGGGACTCTGTGGTGGTGTACCACCAACCTGGACCTCGGCTCTTGGGGTATGTAGAGGCTGGGAACCATCTCCCTCTCGAATTCTTCTTCCTAAGTTTTTTGTACTCCTAAGACTATAGTGGCTGCTGTACCTCCTGCCAGTCAAACCGCCATAGCGTCGTGAAATCTTCATGGAATTTTATGATTCAACTTGCTGCTGAGAGGCGACAACAACACGCTCCAGATCCAATTTACAGATCACCGTTTGAGGCATACATCAGATCGGCATCAATATTTGAAGCTGGCTGACGGAATTCTGACTGTGCACATTTTCTCTCATTTTAGGCACATCTGAGCCTATTGTGATTATAACAGAACACTCGGACCGGCAGAGGCAGGACGACCGTCGGCAGAACACTCAACAGCAGCACCCCCAGAACCAACACCCCCAGAGCGAGAACCCCCGCCAACACCAGCGGCACCCCCAGGAGCCGCAGAACGAACACCCTCCTCAATGCCAGCACCTCCAGGGGCCAAGAGCGGCGGCGGCAGTGGCGGCGACGGCAGCGGCGGCGATGGCGGCGGCGGCGGCGGCAGCGGCGACGGCGGCGGCGGCTGCGGCGGAGTCGGCGACGGCGACAGTGGAGGCGGAGACACCGGGGAAGGGGGACGCGGCAAGGATGGGCCGGGGGTACCACCAGAGTCAGCAGACTCCTCAACGGGGACAACCGACAGGAGGGGAGTGACGTGAGAGACACTAGACGGGGCAGGACGATGTGGGAGAGGAGCAGGGGCTACCAGGGGAGAGGGAGCAAGGAACAGGGGCGGGGCAACCGGGAGACCTCGGTGAGGGAAGCGGCGGTAAAAGGAGATAGACTCATCAAAGGTGACGTCATGAGAGTGGAGGAAGCGGTGAGACGGCGGGTGGTAGAAAAGCCAGTCAGACGAGTCCAGGGGGAAACCGAGGAAGACACAGGGGACAGTGCGGGCAATGAGCTTGTCCGTGCCAGAGGCACGAACGTGAGCAAGGCAGCCCCAGACGTGGAACGGAGATGCATCACCGGGGGACCCGATCCAAAGGAGGGTCGGCGAAGAGGCGCAGCCACAACCCACGGTAGTAGAGCGTCGGGCACGTCGGCCTTCCGCTCCAGTGGAAACACCGTGGTGTAGCGCGTGTAGTTGTCGACGAGCACAAGGAAGTAGCGCTCACCACACGGTCCGGGGACGGGGGCAGGGCCCCAAACATCCAGGTGTAGGGTCTGAAGGGGGGCAGTAGCAGGGCGCAGCGAGGAGGAGTGAGGAGCACGGCGGAGCCGGCCCTCGATGCAAGGCGTGCACGGTGGCATAGTCGAGGGGGGGAGGGCAGGGAGCGACGCGGGGAGGCCTAAGACAATACCGTGCTGAGACATGTGACGGAAACATGGAAAGCAGGGTAACCTAGGCGGTGGTGCCACAGAAGGGACGGGTGAGTGAGGGACCGACACGAGCAAGCTGCAGCGACCTGGGAGGACGCACCAACCGGGAGGGAAGCGGTGTCTAGGGTGAACAGATCGGACACCGGGTCTCGGGGGAACGTCGCAAGGGGGGAACCTGAGACAGCCTCAGAACAGACAGCGAACCGCTCGTGCCCGGGGAACGTAGTGGTGACGCCGAGGTCCTGGAGACAGCCGACACCAACCAGGTTCCTCGAGAACGATGGAACGTGGAGGCCTGTAAGGGAGCCCGAGGGAACTGCTGGACAGGGAAGGGACGTGGAGCTGCGAGCGACGACACGACCCGCAGAGGGGTCAGCGAGAGAGACAACAGCAGGCGCAGCAAGCGGCGTGAGCGTGGAACGGTCGCGGAAGAAGCAGGTAGAAGCACCGGAGTCGAGAGTGAAGGACAGCGAAGCAGTGGCAGAGGCCGAGAACGGAGCCGGTGCAGAGACGAGGCTAGGCAAACTGGGCAGTCCTACGCCTGACGCAGCAGGGGAGGCTAAGCTACACAAGGGTGCAACACCTAAACTAGAGTACACAGGGTAATAAGATCCAGCAACACTAGAAGCGTCAGAATACAAGGTATGCAAAGCAACACCTATCTGATCCATGTCTAACTCAAAGATCGGCATGCCCTGGCGGAGCAGGCTGTGCCAGTCGGGGAGGTCCAGGGCCGGGCCAAAGCGACGACGAAAGAGATCATCGAGGCGGCGGAAACAGCGGGCGGTCGGGTGCGGGCGGCGGCACAGAGTGCTGCGGAGAGGCCCGGTCTGAAGCTGGTACTGGCAGGTCACAGCACCGGAGCCGCCAGTAGACGCCAAGCTGCGCGGGCCGCAACCACGGCCACCACCTCCGGAGGTGCCGGGCCAACCAGGCGGGAGACGGGCCCACGGCTGCGGCGGCTGCTGCTGGAGCGACGACTGCTGCTGGGGCTGCTCCTGCTGCGGAGGGGACTGCGTCTGCTTCTGCCCACTTGTGGTAGTCCTCTCAGGCGGACTACCGTCACCACCACCACTCCCACCACCCCCAGCGCCACCACCCCGGCCTCCCTGGCGGCCACGGCCACCGCGACGCGAGCGCTGCTGCGGGTGGACCGCAGCAGCAGTCTCGGTAAGGGGGGTCGCAGAGGCGACTGCATCCGAAACGTCAGTAAACGTGCACTGGGAGGGGGCATAGCCGTGAAAGATAGAGACTGCCGACGCACCGCTCGACTGAGCGATAGTGCGCTGGCGAGTCTCGATCTCGGTGAGGGTGTCGACAAAGGTGGTCAGAGTGAGGTCACCTGGGTGCTGGCTAAGGAAGTGGTCGCGCGCACTAGCTAGGCGGTCCGGCAGGCGCATGGCGATAAAATAGAGCGTCATGCAGAAGGGGGGGGGGAGCGCAGTGAGCTGGGCAGCAGTGCTGGCAGTGCGATAGCGGGTCTCTAGGGCACGCAAGTGAGTGGCAAAGTCTGCGACAATAGGGAAGGCAGCGAGGTCTGGGAACAGCATCGGGAAGAGCAAGCAGCCGGCAGAAGCGGATGCAGGTGTGGAATAGCGAGCAATAACGGTGTCTAAATAAGCTTTGGCCATATCAACCGTAGCGAAACGCGAGCGCTCAGACACAAAGAGGGCATGACTAATAGCAACCTGAGCTACTGCATCGCGGGAGTCCCAGACCGCACAGGCAAGCGCAGCAGTAGAGAAGGTCTCACGGTCATCAGAGGAGGGGTCATTAGGGAGGGGAGCAGGAGCAGGGGGGCAGGGGAGCAAGCCATCGACATGGACAACCAAAGAGTGGCCATCCTGGCACTGACCTGTAAGGTGGCGGCGGAGATTGGAGAGCCAGGCGGCGAAGTCAACCGCGTGGCCCTCAGCGTCCAGGCGGAGCACAAAGTCAGCCATCGTGCAGGGTCAGCGACACAGCTCCACAGCGACACAGCAGCACAGCTCCGCAGGAACACAGCGGCGTGGGGACACGGCGGCAGCACTCTCCAGCAGGGCGGCCGCGAGGCGCCCCAGGGCAGGCGGGCAGAGGAGACAGGGCTCGAACTGGCGCTGGAAGTCGGAGAGGCGCAGCGGGGCCGGGCGGGCACTAGGAGCCTGGCGAGCGCGAAAAGGGCCGGGCGGCACTAGGAAGGGGCGGGGCCAGCACTAGGAGGGGCCGGGCTGCCCTAGGAAGGGGGGGGGAGGCGGGCCAGCGCTAGGAGGGGCCGAGCGGGCGCAGTGGGGCCAGGCGAGCGCGCCTGAGCCAGGAGGGCGCGACGGGGCCAGGCGAGCGCGGTGGGGCCAGCCGGGCTCGACGGGGCCAGGCGGGCGCGGAGGTGCCAGGCGGGCACGACGGGGCCAGGCGGGCGCGGAGGGGCCAGGCGAGCGCGACGGGGCCAGGCGGGCGCGACGGGGCCACGCGGGCGCGACAGGGCCAGGCGAGCGCGACGGGGCCAGGCGGGCGCGACGGGGCCAGGCGGGCGCGACGGGGCCAGGCAGGCGCGACGGGGCCAGGCAGGCGCAACGGAGCCAGACGGGCGCGACCGGGCCAGGCGAGCGTGACAGGGGGCCAGGCAGGCACGACGGGGCTAGGGGGGGGGGGGGGGGGGGGGGCACAACAGGGGTCTAGGGAGCGCGACGGGGCCAGGAGGGCGTTACGGGGCCTGGAGGGCGCGACGGGGGCCAGGAGGGGGCGACGGGGCTTGGAGGGCGCGACGGGGGCCAGGAGGGGGCGGCGGGGTCTGGAGGGCGCGACGGGGGGCCAGGAGGGCGCTACGAGGCCTGGAGGGCGCGACGGGGGGCCAGGAGGGCGCTACGGGGCCTGGAGGGTGCGACGGGGGCCTAACGCTAAGGGGGGAGGGGATTAGCTAGGGTGTGGGCGGAAGCGGGTGGGCGGGTGGACCTAATCTAAGCGTGATACCATGTTAGCATACGAGAATAATGATTAGAAGGTGGAACAAGGAACATATAGCTATTGGGTTGTACTCCCTAGGAGCACACATCGATACTAGCCTATAACTTCTACATGCATGACATGTATAAGTTGTCAGTTGTGAGGGGCGTAAATTGTCCTTAGCCAAAATGTCGCAGGTGACGCAAGCTGGAGCACATGTGAGGGGCGTGATTGGTCCTTCGCCAAAATCACACGGGCAGTTTGACGCGAGCTGGAGCAGGTGTGAGGGGCGTGACTGGACCTTAGGCAAAATCACGCAGGTAACGCGAGTTGGAGCAGATGTGAGGGGCATGATTGGTCCTTCGCCAAAATCACGTAGGCAGTCTGACGCGAGTTGGAGCAGGTGTGAGGGGCGTGACTGGTCCTTGGCCAAAATCAGGCTAGTAGTGTGAGAATTTGTATGTACGCAGTGAAGTCCGATCTGAATTAAGGATTAGATTCAGAAACCTAAAAAATGTACCTGATGAGTAAGGTTTGTTATGTTTTTTTGTTTTTGTTTTTGTTTTTGTTTTTTTTGTTTTTTTTTTTATGTTTTTTTATGTTTTTTTTTTTTTTTTTTTTGTCTGACAAAACACGCCCTGTCTAACATAATGTGCTAGGTTAAAATCCTACCCACCCTAAAAAATCGCCAAGGTTCAACCTGTCATCTCAGCTCTGAAAAATTTCAGTCCTGATTTTTCAGCCTTCGAAAAATTTTACCCTGAAAAAAATTGCAACTTCCAAAACCCGACCCCGAAAAACGGGGGCTCCTTCTGGGGCACCCTGAGCCAACAGCCCCTCAAAATCCAATCTGAAGCCCTGGTTGTGTTGGAAATACCTCGAAGACTTGAGCGTTTCTGAAGTGTAACACGATACTCGAGGAAAGTCATATCGGGTACGCGAGTCAACGGAGGTTACACGAGGAGGTTGGACGAAAGAATATGTAAGGGTGAAAGGACTCTCGAAGGGTCGCAACCCAGGGTCCTCCCTAGGCCTTTTCCACTTTCTGATGATCAGACGGGCCCTTCAGGCCCGTCTGATCATCAGATGCGCGGCTTTTCTACATTCCTAGTAAGCTTGCATTTGAACATGGTATCAGAGCAGGCCGTCCGTCCCAGGCCTGCTCACTACGTTTTCGCTGCGTACTCCTGCTCCGTTCGCCGCCTTCGCGACTTTCTGCCTGCCTGCCGCCGTGGCATCAAGATGTCGCGGCGGCCACTTGATGCTGCCGTCTCAACATCGACGAGCAGCTGCGGCTCCGACGCCACGCTGCTGCGGCGTCATTCTGGTGCCACGGCGGTGTCGTCGAGCTGCAGCCGCCGAGCTTCACCTCCGCAGCTGCAAGACGTGCAGCGCATCCGCCCGCCAGTAAGCGCCGCGCCTATGGCGCCGCGCTGAAATC